GTATCTTTGGTTGTAATTGTTTAAGTGTATGTATAAGTCTCGGGTTTATACCATGTTTTGCATTGGGGTTTTTGTAATGGTGAGAATTTAGGGTATTGGTCTCAAACCCCTTTGATGTGTAAGAAATATCAGTAATTGCTGTGTACGTTTTTGTTATAAGAGCAGGTTTTTTGTCTTTGTATGCTACATGTATGTACCCTTTTGTTCTTTTACATTCAATTTTCATAAAAAAACAAAAAATGAGCAATGTTTCAGTAAAGTTAGAGTTTAAGAGTTTATATATAGGTGGTGAGCGGTTAAGACTCACCAGAGTTTGGTTTTATACCAATGTTGAGGTAGTTTTGGTTATGTGTATCCTTAATAAATCTGTTATAGGATGCTGTATGTAGCAATTGTATGTAAATCATAGGTGTATTGTTCTGGTTTAGGGTTTCCATATCTTTGTTATCACTAACGTTATAATTTTTTTTTTTGACTTTCCAGTAATTGCACTGGATAAATAGGTTAAGACATTGCATTGTTTTGTTAGGTTTTATTTTTTTTTATTTTTTTTTTGTTATATATAGGCGATGAGTGCTTATGTTTCTTCCAGGTTTTTTTGGCCTTATTAAACCTTTAAATTTGTGCTCGTCGTCATCGACACCATGCCTAACCCTTCTAGGGTAGGGTAGGTGCCTGAGCCCGAGCCTTTAGCTCATAAGACTGTCATTCCCATTAGCCCCCTTGGGGCGGGGATGGCAGACCAGAGAGGCCTAGCTTGTGGCTAGGCCTGGGGACAGTTGGTCCCAAAGATGAGGAGGTACTTGTGCCTCCTCCCATGGGAGACTTAGGTCTCACACTCCCTAAAGAGGGAGCCAAGGCCGGGCCACCACTTGGTAAAGGCCTGGGCCTGGAGAATACCGGCTAATCTTTAATAATAATAAAATTGTGCTCGTCCTTGATAAATTTTGATTGTCGATCATGTATATTTCTAGTTGTATGAGAATCATATGCATACTGTTCATGATGACACTCTTCAGGTCACTTGTTCTATCTAGGCTGGAATATTGCTGCACACTAAGAGCACCTTTCAAGGCAGGTGAAATTGCTGACCTAGAAAATGTACAGAGAACCTTCACAGCGCGCATAACGGAGATAAAACACCTCAATTACTGGGAGCGCTTGAGGTTCCTGAACCTGTATTCCCTGAAACGCAGGCGGGAGAGATACATGATTATATACACCTGGAAAATCCTAGAGGGACTAGTACCGAACTTGCACACGAAAATCACTCACTACGAAAGCAAAAGACTTGGCAGACGATGCAACATCCCCCCAATGAAAAGCAGGGGTGTCACTAGCACGTTGAGACCATACAATAAGTGTCAGGGGCCCGAGACTGTTCAACTGCCTCCCAGCATACATAAGGGGGATTACCAACAGACCCCTGGCAGTCTTCAAGCTGGCACTGGACAAGCACCTAAAGTCGGTTCCTGATCAGCCGGCCTGTGGCTCGTACGTTGGTTTGCGTGCAGCCAGCAGCAACAGCCTGGTTGATCAGGCTCTGATCCACCAGGTGGCCGGTGGTCTGGTGGCTAAAGCTTCCGCTTCACACACGGAGGGCCCGGGTTCGATTCCCGGCGGGTGGAAACATTTCGACACGTTTCCTTACACCTGTTGTCCTGTTCACCTAGCAGCAAATAGGTACCTGGGTGTTAGTCGACTGGTGTGCGTCGCATCCTGGGGGACAAGATTAAGGACCCCAATGGAAATAAGTTAGACAGTCCTCGATGACGCACTGACTTTCTTGGGTTATCCTGGGTGGCTAACCCTCCGGGGTTAAAAATCCGAACGAAATCTTATCTTACCAGGAGGCCTGGTCACAGACCGGGCCGCGGGGGCGTTGACCCCCGGAACTCTCTCCAGGTAAACTCCAGGTATGTTGTGGGGGGGGTAGGTGACGTAAATTGCTAGCCAGTGTGGGTAATAATATCTTTTGTATCATCATGAGTGATGACTGGTGTGTATTGTGTGAGGTTGTATTTCCACTGTAATGTACGGTGTGGTTATTCTGTGTTAGGGACATTTGGGATACTTGTGACTTTAGTAATTTTCGTGTACCATTTCATAGTTTTTCCTACGTGACATATTAACGCTTATTGTAGGTTTAGCGTTACTATTTTGTTTATGTTAATGTAATGCATATTGTCATGTTTTGAATGCTGTATTGTATAAAACCCTCAAGGAAGGTTCCTTGATGTTGGTGAGGGGCTCTTGATTTAGGGAATTGGATCTGTGCTCCAGTTCCCCGAATTAAGCCTGAATGCCTTCCACATCCCCCCCCCCCACAGGCGCTGTATAATCCTCCGGGTTTAGCGCTTCCCCCTTGATTATAATAATAATAATAATGTATTGTATAAAACTTGTGTATTATTGTATTTCAAATAGGTGAAAACGGGGTCTTGTGCAGTGGGACTGTGGGGTAGTTTGTATTGGCACAACGTTGAATTGTCCGGTGTGTATTTTGACTATGTAAATTTATTTTACTGTGGAAGAGTCGTTTTGTGCACTTTTAATTATGTTGATGTACTGCAATGTTTTTAAATAAAATATAAAAAAAAATATTCTAGTTTTAGGTGTAAGAGATTGTGGTCCAGTGTGTCAAATGCTTTCCGGACTATGAAAAGCCCCAGAGTTAATTTAATATCTTTATTATGTATCCCATACCCATCCTGTGGGCAGTAGTCAAAGGATTACAGAAGTACATAATGGGTCCAGGGACTGGGCCCCAAAGTCTTGATAGATGAACAAGTTACAGAAGTAATGAACTTCAGGTAATGAACTCCAGGTGCCCCAGAGGATATTCATTTTTTTTCGAGGGCTATATAAAGTAGTTCAAGCATTTGTATAATAGTATCATCAGTTCTTTTTGTCGGCCTAAGCCCAAACTGGCAGGGGTTAAGTATGTTGTGGGATACTAGGTAGGAGTCAAGTAGTTTGTTTATTAACTGAAAATAAGTCAGACAGTCTTCAATGGCAAACTGATTTTCTTGAGTTATCCTGGGTGGCTAACCCTCAGAGTTAGAAATTCGAACAACCCTTATCTTAAACCAGCATGGAGACTCATGAAGAGGTTGTGAACATCGTTATGAGGTGGTCTGTAGGTGGACTCCCGCCTCCTGTCATGCACCATGGTCGAGTCCATGGCAGCTTCGTTGAGAGCCCGTGGGCTGACACATGCATGAACGGTCAGCCACAGGTGATTGTGACAAGGAAACTATTGTAGTGCTGGCTTGAAGCAGCCAGTTGAACCGTCCCTCTCAACTCTGATCCTGTGGGAGTCAGGAAGACCAGGGAACCCATCGTGGGGGAGTCTGGAAGATTAGGGGACTCACGGACCCATCGTGGGGGGAATCAAGAAGACCAGGGGACCGATCCTGGGGAAGTCAAGAAGACCAAGAGCCTCATCATGGATAAGAAAGACCAAGGAACCCATTCTAGGAGAGTCAGGGATTCAAAGGGGACCCATGGGTGGCCCGATGGCCTGGTGGCTAAAGCTCCCGCTTCACACACGGAGGGCCCGGGTTCGATTCCCGGCGGGTGGAAACATTCGACACGTTTCCTTACACCTGTTGTCCTGTCCTGTTCACCTAGCAGCAAATAGGTACCTGGGTGTTAGTCGACTGGTGTGGGTCGCATCCTGGGGGACAAGATTAAGGACCCCAATGGAAAATAAGTTAGACAGTCCTCGATGACGCACTGACTTTCTTGGGTTATCCTGGGTGGCTAAGATAAGATAAGATAAGATAAGATTTCGTTCGGATTTTTAACCCCGGAGGGTTAGCCACCCAGGATAACCCTCCGGGGTTAAAAATCCGAACGAAATCTTATCTTATCTTATCCTGGGGAAGTCAGGAAGATCAAGGGATCTAGGGACCCACCCTGGGGAAGTCAGGAAGACCAAGGGATCTAGGGACCCATCCTGGGGAAGTCAGGAAGATCAAGGGATCTAGGGACCCATCCTGGGGGAGTCAGGAAGATCAAGGGATCGGGACCCATCCTGGGGGAGTTGGGATGGCCGAGGACCCCCATCTTGGGGTGGATGGCTCGGTGACTGGTTAATAGCTGGGTGACTGGTTGTTAGCTGGGTGACTGGCTGTTAGCTGGGTGACTGGCTGTTAGCTGGGTGACTGGTTGTTAGCTGGGTGACTGGCTGTTAGCTGGGTGACTGGTTGTTAGCTGGGTGACTGGCTGTTAGCTGGGTGACTGGTTGTTAGCTGGGTGACTGGCTGTTAGCTGGGTGACTGGTTGTTAGCTGGGTGACTGGCTGTTAGCTGGGTGACTGGTTGTTAGCTGGGTGACTGGTTGTTAGCTGGGTGACTGGTTGTTAGCTGGGTGACTGGTTGTTAGCTGGGTGACTGGCTGTTAGCTGGGTGACTGGTTGTTAGCTGGGTGATTGGTTGTTAGCTGGGCGACTGGTTGTTAGCTGGGTGATTGGTTGTTAGCTGGGTGACTGGTTGTTAGCTGGGTGATTTGTTAGCTGGGTGACTGGATGTTAGCTGGGTGACTGGTTTTTAGCTGGGTGACTGTTGTTAGCTGGGTGACTGGTTGTTTAGCTGGGTGACTGGTTGTTAGCTGGGTGACTGGTTGTTAGCTGGGTGACTGGTTGTTAGCTGGGTGATTGGTTGTTAGCTGGGTGATTGGTTGTTAGCTGGGTGACTGGCTGTTAGCTGGGTGACTGGTTGTTAGCTGGGTGACTGGCTGTTAGCTGGGTGACTGGCTGTTAGCTGCGTGACTGGCTGTTAGCTGGGTGACTGGCTGTTAGCTGGGTGACTGGTTGTTAGCTGGGTGACTGGCTGTTAGCTGGGTGACTGGTTGTTAGCTGGGTGACTGGTTTTTAGCTGGGTGACTGGTTGTTAGCTGGGTGACTGGTTGTTAGCTGGGTGACTGGCTGGGCTAATGGGTACACTGGGTGTTCGAGTGCGGGTGACGCACCACAGTTGTCTGCTGCTGCTGCAGCTGGTGGTGCTGGTGGTGGTGGTGGTGGTGGTAGTATACTAGTAGTGGTGGTGGTGACAGACACAACAGCTGTGTTCTACCATCATTGCACCAGTGGTACACACCTACCATGGCTACCATGCACAGATAGCACCAGCAGGTACACACACAACTATGGTAGTACTACCATATATGCTGCACCAGACTCATACTTATGCTGCTGCTGCTCCACGTCATCACTGCTGCTCTTCATCCAAGGTCTTGGAGCCTAGGAGTTACACCTGCCTTGTGTACGCGTTGTATGGCCCCTGCGAGTCTAGTGTTTCCCAGGTTCCTGCCCCCTGCGGGTCTAGTGTTTCCCAGGTTCCTGGCCCCTGCGGGTCTAGTGTTTCCCAGGTTCCTGGTACCTGTGGATCTAGTGTTTCCCAGGTTCCTGGCCCCTGCGGGTCTAGTGTTTCCCAGGTTCCTGGCCCCTGCGGGTCTAGTGTTTCCCAGGTTCCTGGCCCCTGCGGGTCTAGTGTTTCCCAGGTTCCTGGGCCCTGCGGGTCTAGTGTTTCCCAGGTTTCTGGCCCCTGTGGATCTAGTGTTTCCCAGGTTCCTGGCCCCTGCGGGTCTAGTGTTTCCCAGGTTCCTGGCCCCTGCGGGTCTAGTGTTTCCCAGGTTCCTGGGCCCTGCGGGTCTAGTGTTTCCCAGGTTCCTGGGCCCTGCGGGTCTAGTGTTTCCCAGGTTTCTGGCCCCTGTGGGTCTAGTGTTTCCCAGGTTCCAGGCCCTTGCGGGTCTAGTGTTTCCCAGGTTCCTGGTACCTGTGGGTCTAGTGCTTCCCAGGTTTCTGGTACCTGTGGGTCTAGTGCTTCCCAGGTTTCTGGTACCTGTGTCTAGTGCTTCCCAGGTTCCTGGTACCTGTGTCTAGTGCTTCCCAGGTTCCTGGTACCTGTGGGTCTAGTGCTTCCCAGGTTCCTGGTACCTGTGGGTCTAGTGCTTCCCAGGTTCCTGGTACCTGTGGTCTAGTGCTTCCCAGGTTCCTGGTACCTGTGGGTCTAGTGCTTCCCAGGTTCCTGGTACCTGTGGGTCTAGTGCTTCCCAGGTTCCTGGTACCTGTGGGTCTAGTGCTTCCCAGGTTCCTGGTACCTGTGGGTCTAGTGCTTCCCAGGTTCCTGGCCCCTGCGGGTCTAGTGCTTCCCAGGTTCCTGGTACCTGTGTGTGTCTAGTGCTTACCAGGTTCCTGGTACCTGTGGGTCTAGTGCTTCCCAGGTTCCTGGTACCTGTGGGTCTAGTGCTTCCCAGGTTCCTGGTACCTGTGGATCTAGTGCTTCCCAGGTTCCTGGTACCTGTGGGTCTAGTGCTTCCCAGGTTCCTGGTACCTGTGGGTCTAGTGCTTCCCAGGTTCCTGGTACCTGTAGGTCTAGTGCTTACCAGGTTCCTGGTACCTGTGGGTCTAGTGCTTACCAGGTTCCTGGTACCTGTGGGTCTAGTGCTTACCAGGTTCCTGTACCTGTGGTCTAGTGCTTACCAGGTTCCTGGTACCTGTGGGTCTAGTGCTTACCAGGTTCCTGGTACCTGTGGGTCTAGTGCTTACCAGGTTCCTGGTACCTGTGGGTCTAGTGCTTACCAGGTTTCCTGGTACCTGTGGGTCTAGTGCTTACCAGGTTCCTGGTACCTGTGGGTCTAGTGCTTACCAGGTTCCTGGTACCTGTGGGTCTAGTGTTTACCAGGTTCCTGGTACCTGTGGGTCTAGTGCTTACCATTTTCCTGGTACCTGTGGGTCTAGTGCTTCCCAGGTTCCTGGTACTCGCCTAAATGTACTCGCCTAATTGTGGTTGCAGGAGTCGAGACTCAGCTCCTGGCCCTGCCTCTTCATTGAATGCTACTAGGTCCTCTCTCTACCTGCTCCCTGAGCTTTATCATACCTCATCTTAAAGCTGTGTATGGTTCCTGCCTCCACTACATCACTCGCCAGACTGTTCCCCTTCCTGACCACTCTATGACTAAAGAAATACTTCCTGACATCCTTGTGACTCATCTGAGTCTTCAATTTCCAAGAGTGACCCCTAGTTTGTGTCCCATCTCTGGAACATCCTGTCTTTGTCCACCTTGTCTATTCCAGAAATTTTTTGTACGTCATATCATGTCTCCCCTAACCCTCCTGTCCACTGTCGTCAGGCCGATTTCCCTTAACCTTTCTTCGTAGGACATTCCCCTTATCTCTGGAACTAACCTTGTTGCAAACCTTTGAACTTTCTCTAATTTCTTAACGTGCTTGACCCGGTGTGCATCCCAAACTGGTGCTTCATACTCCAGTATGGGCCTGACATACCCAGTGTACAGTGTCTTGAAAGATTCCTTACTTAGGTATCGGAACGCTAATCTCAGGTTTGCCGGGCGCCCATATGCTGCAGCAGTTATCTGGTTGTGTGCTTCCGGAGATGTGCTCGGTGTTATACTCGCCCCAAGATCTTTCTCCCTGAGCGAGGTTTGCAGTCTTTGGCCACCTAGCCTATACTGTCTGCGGTCTTCTTTGCGCTTCTCTGATCTTCATGACTTTGCATTTGGCAGGGTTGACTTCAAGAAGCCAGTTGCTGGACCACGTGCCCAGCCTGTCCAGATCTCTTTGAAGTCCTGCCTGATCCTATGATTTAATTCTCCTCATTAATTTCACATCTGCAAACAGGGACACTTCCGAATCTATCTCTTCCATCTTGTCTCCTGGATACACCCCGTCAACTAACTACATGTAAACCACCTCACCCATTCACTATAAACACAGAAATACGATTCTTAATCTTAAAATAGTGAATCCTAACTAGTCATGAGTTTGCCTATGATACTACAGTATAGACACTATGTATTATGCCAAAGCAAAAACATTCACATTGCTAAACTCGCAAACTATAATATAGTCACTTAGCCTTAATACCATAATCTGTAATAATTTAAAGTTTAGAATTAATCTGAGTCTGCCTGAAATGCCTAGCCATGCTAGGTGTCCTAGTAGCCCCCTCTGTAATTAGTATTTTAAAACATGTAAAGCACACAATATTCAAAATCTGTAAACCCCTCATTGTAATCCTTATAGAGAATAAACTTGATTGATTGATCGATCATTCATGTCATTCACATATACCAAAAATAAAACTGGCCTTAGGACTGACCCCTGTGGGACTCCGCTCATCACAGGTGCCCACTGTGATACCTCGTCATGTACCATGACTCGTTGTTGCCTCCCTGTCAGGTATTCTCTGATCCATTGCAGTGCCCTTCCTGTTATACACGCCTGATCCTCTAGTTTCTGCACTAATCTCTTGTGAGGAACTGTGTCGAAGGCCTTCTTGCAATCCAAGAAAATGCAGTCAACCCACCCCTCTCTTTCGTGTCTTACTTCTGTAACTGTCATAAAACTCCAGAGGTTTGTGACACAGGATTTGCCTTCCATGAATCCATGCTGGTTGTCGTTTATAATCTTGTTGCGTTCCAGGTGCTCCACCACTCTCCTGATAATCTTCTCTATGACTTTGCATACTATACACGTCAGTAACACTGGTCTGTAATTTAGTGCCACTTTAATGTCTCCTTTTTTTAAAAATGGGAACTATATTTGCCATCTTTCATACCTCGGGTAGTTGCCCAGTTTCTAGGGATGTGTTGAAGATTGTGGTTAATGGCACACAGCATTTCTGCTCCCTCTCTAGGGACCCACTGGGAGATGTTGTCCGGTCCCATTGCCTTTAAGGTATCAAGGTCACTCAGCAGCTTCTTCACCTCCTCAGTTGTGTGTATGTCATCCAGCACTTGGTGTATTCCCTGTTGGTGTCCCCCTCTCTCCTGTCTTCCCAGAGTCCTTCCTGTCTCCACTGTGAATACTTCCTTAAATCTCGTGTTGAGCTCCTCGCATACCTCTTGATCGTTTCTTGTGAGTTCCCCACTTTCCCCAGCCTGATCACCTGGTCATTGACTGTTGTATTTCTCCTAATGTGGCTATACAGCAGTTTCGGGTCAGACTTGACTTTCGATGCTATGTGGGTTTAGTGCTTCCCAGGTTTCTGGTACCTGTGGGTCTAGTGCTTCCCAGGTTTCTGGTACCTGTGGGTCTAGTGCTTCCCAGGTTTCTGGTACCTGTGGGTCTAGTGCTTCCCAGGTTCCTGGTACCTGTGGGTCTAGTGCTTCTAAGGTTTCTGGTACCTGTGGGTCTAGTGCTTCCCAGGTTCCTGGTACCTGTGGGTCTAGTGCTTCCCAGGTTCCTGGTACCTGTGGGTCTAGTGCTTCCCAGGTTCCTGGTACCTGTGGGTCTAGTGCTTCCCAGGTTTCTGGTACCTGTGGGTCTAGTGCTTCCCAGGTTCCTGGTACCTGTGGGTCTAGTGCTTCCCAGGTTCCTGGTACCTGTGGGTCTAGTGCTTCCCAGGTTCCTGGTACCTGTGGGTCTAGTGCTTCCCAGGTTCCTGGTACCTGTGGGTCTAGTGCTTCCCAGGTTCCTGGTACTGTGGGTCTAGTGCTTCCCAGGTTCCTGGTACCTGTGGGTCTAGTGCTTCCCAGGTTCCTGGTACCTGTGGGTCTAGTGCTTTCCAGGTTCCTGGCCCCTGGGGGTCTGGAGTTTACCTGGAGAGAGTTCCGGGGGTCAATGCCCCCGCGGCCTGGTCTGTGACCAGGCCTCCTGGTGGATCAGAGCCTGATCAACCAGGCTGTTGCTGCTGGCTGCACACAAACCAACGTACGAGCCACAGCCCGGCTGGTCAGGAACCGACTTTAGGTGCTTGTCCAGTGCCAGCTTGAAGACTGCCAGGGGTCTGTTGGTAATCCCCCTTATGTATGCTGGGAGGCAGTTGAACAGTCTCGGGCCCCTGACACTTATTGTATGGTCTCTTAACGTGCTAGTGACACCCCTGCTTTTCATTCAAATTCAAAGTTTATTCTCTATAAGGATTACAATGCTGAGTTTACAGAATTTGGTTATTGGGATGTTGCATCGTCTGCCAAGTCTTTTGCTTTTGTAGTGAGTGATTTTCGTGTGCAAGTTCGGTACTAGTCCCTCTAGGATTTTCCAGGTGTATATAATCAGGTATCTCTCCTGCCTGCGTTCTAGGGAATACAGGTTTAGGAACCTCAAGCGCTCCCAGTAATTGAAGTGTCTTATCTCCGTTATGTGCGCCGTGAAGGTTCTCTGTACATTTTCTAGGTCAGCAATTTCACCTGCCTTGAAAGGTGCTGCTAGTGTGCAGCAATATTCCAGCCTAGATAGAACAAGTGACCTGAAGAGTGTCATCATG